ATACCTATTTATTTATTTATTTATTTATAGAAATAACTTAGAGCCACACGACACTGACTGAAGAGCCTCGCCATGGCCACCCCTGTTATATAACATATTGACCAGTGTATATTACTAACTAAATACTATGGGAGAACAAATTCAACTAATTAAATAATCAAATATAATATTTGATTAAAAGTTATCAATTTTATATTTAGTGGGTACATATTAAAATTTTTACAGACTTCAAGTACCTATAGGTTAGTCATAGAAGTTTTTGACCAACATCCACTGGTTGTTGTTATGATAACAAAATACATTTATCGTACCCCCGAAATGACCGAGGACGGTTTAGAAACAAACGTCATGAACAACCTGCCATCGCAATGTTATATTATGTAGTATGATAAGTAATAACTTCAATTTAATATATGTACATAATCAAAAGTCAACTCTGTGCCCTGTCACGATAATTATGTACACATGACGGTACGGTCGTCATGTATAATTTTATTATAATACATATATATGTATAATATTATATATTATGCATCAAATACGCGTTACACGCCGAATTTTAATAAGTCATCATTTGCAGACGACATGGATTAAATTACCATTATACGTTTTGCATAATCCTGGGAAAATCGGCACATTTCTGCCGCCGCTCGCCGGACAATGCACTAAATTATTATATTATTATAATATTATTTCCGAGCGTTTTTCACTTTTCAATTTGAATCCGTAATCGTAATAATATTATTATTATACACACGACGTCATGCCGCGATAAATCCCCGCCAGTTATAAAATATTATATTATATTATATTCAAACGTCACAGGACGGTTGGGTCGACGGCGATCGCAGTATGACTGTAGTTGTGCGAATCCTGCACGAAAAGATGCGTATCGCGAACACTTGTTGATGAATAACTGGTTAGTAAAAACTAACAGGTCATTCGGTTTGTGGACAAATCCGATCATTCGTCAGCAGCCGTCTACTGATGTATGTTTCAGGCGAGTAGTGGTTTTCCAGCCAGTGAAAAAAGTGCACACGAAATAATATTTGAAGGACACAGATTTTGGACTCGTGAAATATTATATTATTGTAACATTAGAATATAATATGCAGTAGTTGGCTTGGATAAAAACGCGATTCTCAAACAATTTGAAACAAAAATTCATGCATATATTATTTCCGTTTCGTAAGTGTTTGAGAACAGAACACATAATATATTATCTCCGAATGACTTCGATGAAAAAGTAAATATCGTAAGTGAAACGAATAGCTTTTTCTTGTCGACATACATCTAGAATATTAGTTTACACGAATTGATTCGTTGCATTTTACAGCTTATAGGTAAAACACGTAAAAACAATAGTAAAAACAAAATATGTGTGGTAAGTTTAGGAATGTCGTTAACAAAAAAAATCACCAAAATAGACTTAGCGAGTAATTTGGTTAGTGTTGATAGCAGTGTCGTGGTTAACGGCCAAACAAAACACTCGGTATACATATAAACAGGTCCGTCTGTATAGAAGTTTCGATAGTAATATTAATATATTATATAAGGTGCTTATTTTAACGGTAAACACTCATTAACTCTAAAAATATTAACGTTTTTGAAAATATTTTTTTTTTAAATAATATTATGTTCACTATAAAACACCAACCCAAATTTTGTGCACGTATACGGAAACGATACCATTTTTTGTTTTCGATAAGCCTGCAATTTGCGTATTGAAGTGTTGGAGATTTTTATACTATTTTTCATCGTGGAATATTTAAATTTCACGAAAACAATAATAATAATAATAATAAATTCAAATGAATATTACAATCGATTTCCAGGTAAAAGTTATTATAATAGTAAATATTATTTACGTACCATGGTATATGAATTACAAATTCAAATAATCGATGTCGTATTATATATTATATATTAGATATGTATATGTGTCACTAAACTACATTATATTATTTTACTTTTGAAATTGAATATTTTAATTATTATAAAAAGTACATTAAAAATATCACTATTTTCTCTCAAGACCTACGTGATGATTATTTATGTACGTCGCGTATAGAGTATAATAATATATGATTACACAAAACAATTCGAAACTCGGTCAATAATAACATATTGGAATAATGGTATTACAAAGTACACACATCAATAGAAAGTCGAATTCATGTTTTGACATACAAATGTCAACAGTGCTGCTGTCTCATCGATAGGTACCATAATATACATAAACTGAAATTATACAAAATTGCATATTTGTTATGTCTACATATTATAATAATAGTATATGATCACTACATCAACAAACGATTTCGAATTTGTTTTGTAAAAGACGAACGTTTCTAGTTCAAAGACCCGAGCCGTCCAGTGTGAGGGGCGACGGGACCGAATCCGATTTTAGGAAAAAATTGTATAGGGCCTCCCTGTCGCATAACTCATAAAGGGTATTTTTATAAAATATCAGATGGGCTCACGATTATAAAAGCAATTTCAGAATTCTAGTCAGATAATAAGACGTAAGATTAAATGTTTCTATCGTCAATCGTCATTATACCCACCAGAGACCAATAACATTATTTTACTTACAAATTATACAAATAACGTAAAATAACATAATAATTGTATTGTTTACATAATATTATTATATAATAGTCACCAGACCGTTATTAATTTTAATAATGAAGAGTGGAGGTTTATATATAAATACCAAATACCGCCTGCAGTGAGTTATAATGATGATTATAATAATAATAATAATAATATGTATGACATGTTCTTACCTTTAATTATTTACATATTAATCTTTATATATATTTTTTATTAGTTTCTTATGAAGTGCGTAATGTATTGTGCACCTTATCGAGAAAAAATAAATATAAATATCTACTAAACAGAAAATAAATAAAAATATAATAGTTTTGCGATAGTAAAATTGTGTGATTTTTATTAAGTTATTGTTTTTTGAAATAACATATTAGTGAATAATAACTTACATTTTACAAAAACCTCATATCTTATATCAAATAAATCCGAATACACCGTTGACAAATAGACATTTTACTGAATGACCACGAATAAAAATAGAAGCATTACTCTGATAACCTAGTAAATTCTACAGACATAAAGATGCCTATACAAATTTGAAATTGTCGCCTACGGAGACGACCGTGTAACAGTTGTCGACTACGTCTGGACTTGCACAGTTGCACCTATTGAAAGATAAAAAAAAATGTACACCTAACCTTTGGTATTATACATTTAAAATGGTAGGTATTCAAAATTTTACATTGACAAAAAAAACATAGAAAAATGTTTAAATATCAAGTATATAAACGTATATACAATATCATACATATTTCATATAGGTACCCTATAGTTATAATATGTCAACCACAGCACTCATATTTCATTAATATCAATGATTATACCTAAAACTCTAGTATCAATGGTCTCTATGGAGAATATAGTTAATAATTGATAAACATTAATCTATATATATATATATGTATATATATAAATGAGTTGCTGTTCGTTAGTCTCTCTAAAACTCGAGAACGGCTGGTCCGAATTGGCTCAAATTTTTTTTAAGATGTTCGTAATTGCCAGAAAAAGATTTATACGAAAGAAAATTTTAGGAAAATCTACCGGAAAAGTAGAAAATTAGAATGTCAAAAAGTACAAATCTGCCCAGAAAAAAATTAACTTAATAATAAAAAATTTAGTTTCAGATTAAAATAATAATAGTGTATTTTATATTGCTTGCAATTTTAGTTGTAATTTTATTTTTTGTCACGCCTGCACCGAAAGTTTGGTTTTCGACCACGGTTGAAGCGTTCGAAAGCGTCCTTTTTCCGTCCAGCGGGCGGTAAAGTGGAAATCCCCAAAGTGCCGGGCGGAAAAGAGGAAATCCCCAAAAGTGCCGGGCGGAAAAGAGGAAATCCCCAAAAGTGCCGGCCGCCGGGCGCGTATCCCCTGCACAACCAGAAAGTAAAATGTATACCTACCACGGTTCTTACAAAACATAAACTTTTGGTTACATCTTAAATGTATAGTATAACCTCCTTGCATGACGCATAGATCCCTGCATAACCTTTTCCATGAACGCAGGGGCGTGACAAAAAATAGTATGTGTGGCTCGCGCGGGAAGGCCATTTCAGTCTTGTGCGAAATGCGGCACTCGCCTACGGCTCGTGCCGCACACGACGCCCGCGACTGAAATGGCTTACTTCCCGCCCTTGCCACACAATATACTATTTTGTCAATATATAAAAACAGCCGTTCTCGATTGATGAGGTATCATCCATTTTTTGCGCTCCATTTTTATGTATATAGATGAATGTTTCTGTGTAGATTATACCTCTGGGAAGTACATAGGATAATATAAAAATTGTTAAATTTGTTTTTTTTTTATTCATCAGATTTTAGGACTGTTAGGTTAGGTTAGGATTTTGTATTAATTAATATAATAAAAATATAACAGTATGGCTCAACAGCGTATTATATATTATATTGGTTGCTATTGGTTAATCTAGCATGTTTGTTGATTTGTATTATTATTTTTTGTCAATATATATATTGTATGAATGTTTGTGTGTAGATTAAACCTCTGGGCAGAAGACAGGCTAATTTAAAAATGATTAAATTTGGTTTTTTTTTTATTCATCTGATTAATATCGGTTAGGATTTTGTATTAATTGATTATATTAATCCACCGTAGGTGGAATTTAGTAAAAATGACAAACTTGGTATAACATTGGTACTCTAGAGTTACATCATAAACTTAAGTAACGAATTGAACAAAGTCTGAGTCATATAAAGTTGGCACATTTAACGGGAAACGAAGTGCACGGAATCAGCTAGTATTTAATAAAATATTTTTAGAAAAATAAACACAACTATACTTTGCACACCAACAAATTTTACCGTAAATTTTTAATTATTTTTTTATTGACCATATTATAGCGTTAAAAGTACATTTATTTTTCGTCTTCTCATGGTTGAACTCCTATCGCATCGTCTTGAAAAACATCCTTACGACTAACAGACAGGATATGAGAGCGCACAGCACCGCAGACCTGATTAACGACGGATGCACATTGCCTGAATCGGTGTTGTTTCCTGAACTGGGAGGTTTGGTGGTTGATGGCACCAGCATGTAGGGTCGTAGGGATGATTTTTACAACCGCTTGCATCTTTGCAATAATGGCAGCTGCCATTGATCATTGTATGACCTGTTGCTGTTACTGTTGGCCCAGGGCCGGATTCGTCCAGCTAGTTACCGAGTAAAAATCGGTGGGACGCGACAATTTTGAGCCGTTCGAGTCATGAGGGGCCACGCTGACTGAAAATATGTTAAGAGTTAAAAGTTGAAGAAATGGAGACTATAAAATAATAAATCTATGCACGGAATAAGAACCTACCCAAAGGTCGCCAGTTTGGAAGTGGGTTGGTAAAGTACGGAAAACTCGGAGGGGCCGAATTTGTCCAATCTTAATACTTCAGCACAACCCACATCAGACGCATTAGTCAGACAGCCACGTAATATGCTGGAATACACTTCACCTTCTTTCGACTGGAGTGGGTACAGTACAAATCAACTATGGCCGAGTTATTTTATTATTTTTAATATTCACTTACTTTGAATGGTGACATCGTAACATTGCTTATCTACACAATCAACATAATCCAGAGTTAATGCTGTTGATTTACAATCATACGTAGAAATTATCTGGCATATGTTACATTTACATGTAGCCACAGCTACAATAAATATATATATATTATATTATAATGAGTCCATCATATTAACATGTAAACAAGCATAACCAAACAACACTACAATGCACACTTATTATCAATGCAGGTACAATGTACCCTATATTATTTGGGTGTACCAAACATTTAAGTGTATATACGATAAAATAGTTGTATAAAGTGTAATAGTTACTCAGAGTAAAAAATCAACACAAGCTCGTCGTGGAGATTATTATGGCGAAAGATTTCGTGATTGCGACAAGTGTAAAAAATTAACAAATTTGTAAAAAATTTAAAATAGTTTTAACTGGTAATTATTATTAACACTGTTTAAAAATGAATATTTTCTTTAGAAAACTGTTTTATCACAGGTGAACTTTACTCGGCTAAACTTTATCTTGGCTACCTACAAAATACCAGAGGTGATTCGAACTGTTCGAATTTAAAAAATCGAACCCAACTTGTCCTTAGTTCAGGTAGTATATACGTATACCTATTGAACATTTAAAGTTGTAAATTAATTAAAACTACCATGGTTAAGGTTTGAAATACTACATTTTTTAACATTTTTATTATTATATCGGTAGTGTTTTATCGTCGTCAAACGTTGATTGAGTGGTATCCCAATTGCAAATTTTGCACGTACAATATTAACTACGTGGTCGCGAAAACGTTTTTCGGCATTCGAAACGGTTTGAAACGGTGGAAATTCGACACATGCCCCAACCCTATGATAATATTGTCCACCAATGCACCGTCTACATCGGAATCCCTTTGATTGTACCTACCTACTACAATAAAATAAACATACGTATAGTGTATATTACCATGATAGACCGGTGACAGTATATTTTATAATAATAGTATATTATAATATAATGCACACAACCCGTCTCGCCCCAGCTCTTGCCCGTCGACCACGTCTCGTCGACGGCGGCGATAAACCGTCGGAAAACTTTTAAAACTTTATATTTTATTCGACCGTTTCCAACAGGGACACGCACACTGATCGAGCGACTGCAGTGCGAGAGGAAAAAACTTTTGGCCCCGTAAACGCGGTCCGAATTAAAATGAGCCTCGGCACGTAATTATATATATTATTATTATTTAATATTTATACGTCGTCGCCGTGCCGAAAACACGCCGACGGCTGCCGACAGTGGGTGGGGTGCGGGGTGGGAAAAAAGCAGAAGAAATTAAGAGCATCGGTGTTCCGTCTGCAACACATATTATTATTATTATTATTGCTACAACAGTCGCCTATATTGAGATTTCTATTGCACCCGCCGCCGCCTCGGACCGGCTCGCAAACGGGTCCGCGAGAATAAGAAAAAAAAAATAAGAATAGAAATAAAGTTTTGTCGGCGCTATAACAACAAAAAATACAAAACGGAAATGTACTCGACAAATTACACTGAGCACATAACCCGGAGAACCCTCCGAGTGCAGGAGCCACGTGCCCTCAATTATAATAACGGTTTTGTTCGCGAAAAACGAAAAAGTGATTAGGATTTCCACGCGTTCGGTTTCGATGAGCGTCCCCGAATAGACTCCACTAAATGATAATACTATTTATGTGATGTTATCGAGGGTATTCGATAATATACGTAAGCGTCAAACTTATACAAGATATTATTATAATATGATTTATTTACATAAAATATGTACAATATAATAATACAAGTTATTTCGTAGGTATAGTCAAAAACATTATTCATAATTCGTTAAACTGTCATAAATGTTAATCATTTTATAATATACGAGGTGCGACTCGATTAGTAAGTTATAACGTTATAAACCGAGATATATTATTGAATGATATCATCGGTAATAAGTTATAATATTATATACTAGTACTATAAAAATATTAAAAAAAAATATTATAAAGAATACATATTTTACGCTTCATACCCAAAAGGCTGCGACATTACTCGAACGGCGACTCGGTGCTTTTCATCTAACGGGTGACGGGCCGATGTATAGAGTTATAATATTATTATAGTGTCATGCAGACAGTCCTAACTACCTGTTAAAAAGTCAAGCCAAGTATATTATGTAGGTACCAAAGATCGTCGTGCGGCTAAAACCGTCGCGATTGATGAAACCCCGAGGTAAGGTGATGTGGTGATTTGGAGATGAAAACGAGAAAAAAAAAACTCAAACGATGTTTCGAGCTTTTTGAGCGACAACCGAGGGGTACTTTGTGAGTCCTTTGAAAAGGATTATAAATTGTTTTCGTGAATGAGGATAAAAACCATTGCTGCCCCGCAGTGCTGATATCCAGCAATATCAATGTATGTACGCTGTCGATGTACGATCGTCGAACGAGAAATGCTAAAAATAATAATATAGTTATTTACGTGGGGAACGGAGTGGCCGAGCGGACTAAGGCGTCGGTTGCGACGCACACCGATACCGGTTCGATACCTCGGCAATGGGCGGCATTTCTCTTCGGGCAAGTCTCGGTGTCCAGATAGAACAAGTGCCGCCATCCCCCACCCGGGAATGGCAGATACCTACGGGTGCCCAATAAAAAATCTGCCAAACCCAAAACACACGTGTTTTCTAAATCTACAATTTTCTCCCCTATAAAACAAAGACAAAAACAGCTAATGGCCATAGTTGCCGGGCTTTAAGATAAATAAAAAAAAAAAAAAAAAATTATTTACGTCGTCGTCGTCACCGTTAATAATATTATTATCATCGCATAGTCATCGCCAACGTCGTTATATTATTTTCGAACGGAATGCGTTTCGGAGCAACAGGCGTATAATAATAATAATAATCGTCGTCGTTCTCATATTGTTATTATTATCGTCACGGTCGTTTTTTTTCGTTATATTTATTACTCCTGTCCTCCGCCGGTACAATATTATATAAAGTATACTTTCGTCAGTCTACACTCGCAGCGAAGTATTTCGAGTGTACGGGCGCGTGCGGATTTCTTAATAAACAATAAATTGCGAACATCGTCTGAGAACACGATATTGTTATATATACCTCGAGCGGGAAGTGCGACGACGACGACGACGAGAGACGTCTGAAAAATGCGATCAAAACTTTTCCGAAGAATTTTCGCCGCTTGAATTCTAGTGCGCCAACCTCCCGACGAATCGAGAAAACTATTTGCAGGTGTATGATATAAAATAATATATTATATTATTATATATAGATACGCGACGACGAGGAGGTATTCGGATACTTGTTGGAACTTGTATACGATACTATATACGTATAATAGTCGGGTGGTGCGTGTCGAAGTGCTTTCGAGTTATTGTAGTTGTCGAATAATAATAATACACTCTCTAGCGACTTGTGAGCGAGTGAAAGACGCGTAGGTATAATATTATGAGGTTATATTTTCGTTTTTCTCCTGTGCTTTTCGTCACCGGCTTGCCCGGCGGACAACCTTGAAACCAGAAATTATCAGCTAATTTTTACATTCATTACAATAAAACTACATATTTTAGATTCTGAGTGGAACGATGAATGTATTGATTTTACAATGATGTGTGTTTTTTTTTAATTTTTTTTTATTTTTGTGTCTGTGTACACGATTAGTAGTCGAAATAATGCTTCGATTTTCAACTTCAGTATCTTGTTCGATTGGAAAGTGAATCTAGTTGGTGCATTCGGGGGGTTAAATTTTAAAATACCCAATAGTTTTCACAAGCGCCGGAATTAAACACATAAAAATTAAGGAATAATGGGAATTTTAACGCAAAATCTGTTTTCCGAAAAATCCATTTTGGTTTTTGGTGTTTAAAATATTATGATTTGTTTTGAACTGTTTAGGGACATTTTCATTTTCCATTTTTTTTTTTAGTTTTTATTCTAAAAATATCAATACAATTTTATTTGTTAGTTTCAAAAGCTGGAAAATTTAATAGAAGGCTCCTAGTATATTTTTTCAAAGACAGATGAAAAATATTAAAAATCCTTAGTCATAATTTTTTTTATAAGCATTTAAAGTTCAAAAATTGACAAAATATGGAAAAATCACGAAAATTAGTAAATTATTTTGAGTTGAGAATTCGTAAAAATTTTACTTTTTAAATCTATGATTTGAAAATGTAATACAAGATTCCTTATAAGATTATCTACCTTTATCAAAAAAAAAAATGTCTATAAGAAAGTCAAATTACATTTTTATGAGCGTTTGAAATTCAAATTTTTACAACATTGGATATTCACTCGATTTCTCATGTAACGATTTCTTTATTTTGTTGTAATTCAAAAACGAATAACTGTAGATACATGAAAATTTCACTGAATGTTTATATTAGCATTTCCTATACACCATAGAATTTTGAAAATATTTTGACTCTTTTTGAGCTGTTTACGGACATTTACAGCTTTCAACATTTTTTAGTTTTTTTTTCTATAAATATCAATAAAGTTTTATCTGTTGGGCCAAAGAGTGTAAAAATTTAATACAAGGCTCCTGATATACTGATACAAT